TCTTTCCCCCAAAATTTCCACTGACTTCCCTGGTGGATTCTCCCACAGCCACACGGGGGGAGTTGAAACTACCATGAGGTCTCTGCTGATCCTCTTGACGTACGTCTGCCTGCAAACCTGGCTGGGAACCGCCCAGGTAAGTGCCTGAGCCTTGCCAGGGAAGCTCTCTGGGTTTTCTTTGCTCAAGGCTGTGTTGGGTGCCAGGTTGCCTTAGACCCATTGACGTGCGGGGCTGGAAGGGACCTCGCGAGGTCGTCTGGTGCAGCCCTCTGTGCTGAGGCAGGGCCTAGCTCACTGAGACCAGCTTTGACAGTTTTTGTCTTATCAGGGCCCCTCGCCACCTTCCCTAGTGCCTGGTCGGGGGACGCAGCCTCTCACTGGTCTGGGCGCCAGGGCACGGCTCCATCAGACTCCTTGCTGCTGCCTTCCTGGACATCTTCCTACCACAGCCTGTTCCCTGCCTGTCTCCCCACAGCCTCTCCAGCCTCAGCATTCTGTCAGGGCTGGACCCGCAGGGCTTCCCCCGACCCACCCAGCGTGATCCCACAGGATAGAACAGAACAATTTCTTAAACTAATTTCTGCCCCACTCAGGCTCCCTCCTCACTCTGCAGGAACCTTCCTGTTCTCCTCCGGTCTCTGAGGCTTTGTTTACACGGCAGGGTTTTTGTGCAAGAAGCCTTTTGTGGAAGGGTTCTTGTGGAAAAGCGCATCCAGACCTCAACGTGCATTGCAAAAGTGCTGTGTTCTTGGGCAAGAGAGCATCCACACTGATAGATGCTCTTTCTCAAGAAAGCTCTGATGTCTGTTCACAAAATGGCCTTCAGAGCACCTGTGCCTTTTCCCATAGAGGTTTCGTGCACAAGAAATGCGTGTGGAGCATCTACACTTGCTTTTTTGTAGAAGAACTCTTGCATAAAAAGTGGGGAGAGGAATAACTGTACCACAAAAAGCCTTCTCTTCTGCTGATTTACTTACATGAAAACACACTTAAGGTGGGAATGCTCTACCGTGTTTTGCACAAAAACCTTGTAGTGTAGATGTAGCCTGAATGTTTTACTGACCAGGGAGGGACTGCAGAGGTCTCCTTCTCTCCCCTCTGACCAAAGTTTCACAGTCATTAGATTTTAAAAAGAATAAATTTCACGATTCCAGCTTTTTAAATCTGAAATGTCATGGTGTTATAACTGTAGGGGTTCTGACCCAAAAAGGAGGTGGGGGGGATTGTGCTTGTGGTACCCTTACTTCTGTATTGTGCCTTCTTGTGGAGCTGCCTTCAGAGCTGGGCAGCTGAAGAGCAGCAGCTGCTAGCCGGGAGCCCAACTCAGAACTGCCCCCAGTTGCAGCATGGAAGTAAGTTGGTCTGGGATGGTGTTGCCAGAATTCCTTCTGCACTGCTGCCTGCATCAGCAGTTGCCATTCTCTGTTTTCCCAGCTTTGCAGGCAGCAGCACAGAAGTAGGGGTGGCCTGGTATGGTATTGCCAGCCTTAGATCTGCTCTGCTGCTGGCAGGGTGCTGCCTTCGCAGTTGGGTATCTGGTCAGCTGCTGCTCTCTGGCCACCCAGCTTTCTCCCACCTTTCATCTTCCCTCTCCGTTTAGAGATAAGCTCCTAGGGGCAGAGACCATCTCTTAGGCTACGTCTACACTGCAAGCTTCTTCGGGAAAAGCTTATTTCGAAAGAGAGCAGCCACACTGATCGGATTCTATCTCACATTTAAGTCTATCTGGAGCCAGTTCAGGCAGGGCATTAGGTCAGCAGTTACTTCTGGGAGCTGCTGCCTGAGGCTATCTGAGGCTGTGTCTAGACTACATGCCTCTGTCGTCAGAGGCATGTAGATTAGACACATAGGCAAAGGCAAATGAAGCCGCAATTTATATGATCACGGCTTCATTTAAATT